ATACCCCTTGAATTGCTGCTTTCTGCTTAAAGACAGGCAGGAGTTTCCATCAGTCTTTGCTTAACACTAGGAATTTTCACCTAGCTTTATGGAAAACCCACTACAGTGACAAAAGAAGTGATCCCTTTTCTTAAGCAGTGTAAATCACAGTGCTTCCTTCTGTGTATTTAGACCAGAAAAGTGAGGATTTGTATCCTCCCTGGTCATTTGACAATGTCAAATGTGATAACCACATTTTGGGTCATCACAACTGGAGGAAGGACTAGTGGCATCTCTTGGACTGAGGCCACAGAGGATGCTCAACATTCTACCGTGTCCAGGACAGGCCTGCTACAAAGACGCATCTGGTGTACACTGTCACTAGTACCCAGGAGGAGAACCCCTGAGAGAGGACCGCACAGCAAAGCAGTTGCAGCAGGGAACGTTTAGAGGCTATGACATAGGACTTTGAGCCTTCCTGCCAAGTTTCTCTCTACCTTGTTTCTTGGGACAGGCTCCTTCCTTGGCCTGATCACTAGAACCATTGCTTCATTTTCCATTGGACGTAAGAGAATCTTGGAGAACATTGGATCTGAGAGCTGGAAGCAAATCAGAAGATCACCCTGTGTAGGCCCTATTACCAAAGGTAGCTCTTCTCCAGCTTTGCCCACAAATCACTTGGGGTGGTAGAGATGCAGATTTGGCCTCCACAGCAAAAGCATTTAGGACCTGTACTTGCTGCAGCACCGCAGGCACAGGCAGCCCCAGCTGTTCCACGATGATTAAGTGTAAGGAAATGTCCCTATCTCACAGATGATGCGATCATAGTCCACTAAAGTTAAATCACTTCTCCCAGGGCACTTGGCTGGAAATTCTGAAAAGAATCTGAAAAAGAGATTTCCTTGGACCCTCCCACTCCTGCCACCAAGCAGTGTACCACAGAACCCACTTGTACTCTGGCGCCCCGAAGTGTCCTGGAGAAGCACAGGGTCTGCATGCTCTGTGAGCACATTTCCGCTGCACAATGCCCTGCTCTTTCTCCCTGGCTCTTTAATAACCAGTGGGGTTCAGTTCAGGAGATCTAAGGAGAGGTGATAAGAAACAGGAAGGACAACTTCTTGGGGAAGGGCAGACAGGGGTGTGGGGATGAGGATCAAAATGAAGCAAAACACTTTTGTAGGAAAATGGATGGGTCTTTGAGACCATAACACTAAGTGAAATATATTAGACACAGAAGGTTCAATATCACATGGTTTCTCTTATGTGAGAAACCCACATACAAATAACTGAAAGAGCAAAATAAAAGAGAGATGGCAGGAAACAGGGAGGTAGACTTTGTGGAGATGGGAAGAGCTCTAGAGTTAGGGGAGAAGGGAGGGCAGAGGGAAAGAGGGATAAAATATCAAGATGTGATGTGTATATGTATCAATCCCCTCAAATGAGTGTAATTATTATGTATCACAAACATGTACTAGTAACAAAAATAATAATCAAGATATGATATATATGTACTAATCCTCCAAAACGAATGTAATTATTATGTACCCCAAACATACACCAAATAATAATAATAATAATAATAATAATAATAATAATAACAACCAGCAGGGACTCCAGCACCAGGCAGCACTTCGGTGTGGCAACTCCCTGGGGAAAATTCCTTGATAATCACGTAAACTGTCCAGCAGCCATTCCTGTAAATGTCTTTCTGGGGACAGGCTGGGGTTTGGAAACTGTCAGAAAAGGAAACCTGCTCATGCAAAAGGAGCAAGCTCCAATTTCCGCTCCGGTTCGTGAGGGCTGGAAACAGGTGGAAGAGTTTGAGTGTGTGAAAGGGACATGGAGCCCGGCAGAAGGAAGGAATGTTCTACCAGCAAACGAGCGTCCTCTCGACCCAACCTGTCAGGCAGCCTGCAGACCGAGAATTTATGGATGTGTTTTCAATTTCTCTGACAGAATCTGTTTGGACTGAGGACAGCTGTTTAATCTTTGAAATATGTGTTCCATAACAAACGCTGGAATCACATATAAATCGCTCCTTTCATTCTGTGAGCCAAACCCTGACTAAAGGGGTTTGCAAATCCCTACAAGGTGCTCTTTGCTTATTGCTCACTCAGAAAGAGAAAAAAAATTTTTTTTCTTTAATGAAATGCAATGTTGAGGAACTGCCAAAAATAGATGCTCCCTATCTGCCTTCACATATGGTAGCTTCTTTCTAGCCAATTAACTACCAACGAACTGAGGAAGAGCTCTAAGATGGGGCATGCGCAGATGGCCTGGGCACAGATGGAAGTCTCTGATCCTGATTCCACCCACTAAGGCCCAGGAAGCCCATCATGACCCAGACTTTTATTTACAAAGCCATTTTCCTTTGCCTTAGCTAAGCCCCCAGAACTAAGACTGATGGGTTGTCACCTTTGGGACAAATCCTGTTTGTTCATTCCCTGCCTCTGGCTTTTAGCTACGTCATGGTAAAGAGAAATATCCAAGGCCTACAAAAGGCTATTCTTTCACGAGTTTTACCAATACACCTATTTCTACATTAACACCATACTGGAGAGTTGTTTTTTTTTTGTTTTGTTTTGTTTTGTTTTGTTTTGTTTTGGTGTGGAACTGTAGTGGATATGGGGTTTTACACTGTCTGAAAATACCCAACTTACACCCACTCTTGTATTTCATGAACTCTTACTCCAAATTTCAAACTAATCAATGCATAGTTTGGTATCTATATTTATGCTTTTCTTCTCTCCAAGCCAATATAAAGCTAATAGAAATTTTCTGCCAAGTGATCTCTTTTCTATAATTTTCGATTAATTTGGAGTCCATGGGAAGAATTTTTCTCGGGGGAGACAGCACTTAAGAGATCTATTTCTTTTTAGAGTTTTTGTGCATTTCGTTTTTGTTTGGGGAGAAATGACTGCCGGAATTGAAAAGAGAGGCAACTGACTAGCCCACCCTGTGTTTACTTATGGGGTCTTATAATTAAACTGAACTAAACGCTACATGGCCTTTAACAACACAAAATTAAAGTAATTTCCAATTAAAAGTAATGAAAGGGCTTCATAATGGGACAAAATGATAACATCTACCATTTGCATGGTCATATTCCATGCCAAGGACTTTACAGTGATTAATTCATTTCATTCTCATAACCATGCTGCTGGGTTAAGAGCAGTAGCTCACACTAGGGAGAAAGGAAAGAATAACTGGGATGGGGGAAAGGAGAAAAGAAGGAAGGATTATATATATACATGATAGCTAATATAATTCTATTACTAATTTCTATTAGTTCATTGAAAGGAACAGTGTTTATATTGTTTGACCAATCTTACATGCCTATATCTAGTAATCTGAGCAACTACTTTGAAGTAACAATATGCAATATAATAACCATTGTCAATTTCTTATTATCTTGTTTTGAAACTCTGTATCATTTTTATTGCTTTTATTATTTCTCTAAAATAAAACACATACATTACTATCATGTACACCTAGAAAAGAAAGAGCAGTAGCTCACTCTAACAGAGATGGAGAAACCTAGGCTCAGAGAGGTCCAGAGCCTTTAGCAAAGTCACACAGTCAGGATTCAGTGGAACTGGAACTCAAGTGCATTCCTGTTGGGATCTAACATTGTTGTGACTCCGTGGAAGCAATAGTGAAATTCTGTTAGAATGTCAGTTTTGTTTGCTCTTAGGATATCATTAGACCTAGGGAGTTTCCAGGCATGGGTTTACATGTCACTAATACATCAGTGGCTTGGATTCTATCTATAACCCTAATGACGCCTCTGAATTTTAGACTTAAACGTCCAACAGATATTCTCATGCAGTATTTACAAAATGGACCTCCTTGCTTCATCTAGCCCATCTCAGTAAAATGGCAGTTTGGCTCTACCAGTTTATATCCAGCCCACCAGAAAATCTGTTGGATTAGCTTTGGAAATATATCCAGAATTCAGGAATTCCTGGGGCCATGCTCCACATTGCTCATCTATTGCAATAGCCTCTCACCAGAGTCCTGGCTTCCATACTTACTGTCCAGCAGTCAGAATGGTTTGTAGATGGCCCAAGTCAAATACATCACCCCTTGAATTTCTGGATCTTTACCTGGCCCTTCAATATCCTAAGGCATCTGCTTATGACTACCTTTCTCTCAAAGGAAAAACAGAACAGACTGGACCACAAATACCCCCACTCTTAGCCCATACCAGACATATCCTCAGTCATTAATCCCTAGAGGGACCCTATCAAGGTAAACTAATTTCCACCACAGGACATTTTTATTTACTGTCCCCATAGCTGGTTCCCTCACCTAATCAGAGGGGACTCTTTCACTCATATTAAATAGCACCTCTTCTAGATCATGGGTATGTGGGCATTCTTTCTTTTGCAGTTTTTCTTTAAGGTTGAAATTTTTCAAAAGAAAAACACACAGTTCAAACCCTTGTGGTTCCCCAGGTACTAGAGGGAATTTTTGCTGTTGAAAAAAAGGATGAGGCTAGGGTGGTGCCCACCTGTAATCCTAGTACCTCTGGGAGACTGAGGCAGAAGGATCATGAGTTTGATCCCAGGCTGGGCTACTTAGGGACTTAATGAGACCCTGCCTCAAAATTTAAAAAAATAAAAATAAAAATTAAGAAAGGACTGGGGATGTAGCTCAATGTGAAGGCCTTGGGTTCAATCCCCAGTACCACACACAGAAAAAGAAGGATGAAAGAATGAACAAATGTCAGATTAAACTGTACTCCCTAGTCTCCAACACAGAGCAGACATACAGATGACATGGGGACAGTGGTCCTGCTCTACCCTGGGACACTTAGAGCCATGGTCTCAATTTTTATATGGTTGTTGCCCACTTAGCCAAGCACAAGGGAGGTAGAAGTCAACCAATTGATATAACATTCTTAAGGGTGGGTCTTTAACTTACTTATATGCCTCAGCCATGTCACCAAGACAAGGTTTCCACAGGATCTATTTGGAAGAAACAGGCTTGAAATCACAGTATCTGTTCCATTCATGACATGCTTGTTAAGACTCTGTGCTTGTTTTATTTTTAAAAGTGGGGTTCAAACATTTAATTCTTAATAAGGTACCAATGTTTACAGAGAGTGTTACAATAAAAAACCCAGAAGTTGCTATGAGGTTGTTCCAACACCAAATGCAAATATATCTCATAAAAGTCTCACATAGGGTCATTCCCAGCACACCTAGAAGAGCAAGTAGTTATTACCAAACCTGTGTAAAATGGGATCTGGTTAATGTTTCCCAAGGTAGACATACAGGCTCCCTTCTCATGTAAATCATTTCAAAAGCTAGAAGCTGAGTCTGATAAAATACTGCCTACACAAAATTAAAATGAACGCATAAAATTACAATTAAATGGGAATTCAATAGTTTTCCTCCTTGGGTTTCACATCTTTTCCAGCTCACCACCTGATAATGAATACTGAGTAGACTTTGCACGTGTTGATAATTTAAAGTAATCAGATCTCACCTAAATGAAACAAACACCTCCAACATCTTCAGTTTCTGTGACTTATTAGGATCAAGAGTGTATCTGTTTACAGGTCCTCTCCTTCATGAGGCCTTGGGGAAGTACTGAGCAGAGAACCTTGAGACTGCCTGCTTCTAAGCAACACCCAGTGCTCAATATTGAATGACTCACTTTGAACACATTGACCTTTCCCTAACAGCCACAGGAACATCTGCAGTCCCAAGGGATGCACTGAAAAACACTTGGAAAACATTCACCTATCACTTTCAGGATCGCCTTTATTTGGTGTTCTGCAGCCTATTTCCTCAGTTACAGAGACGGAAAACAACACACAAGTGATGTGTCTTACTGAGAACTCCTTTCCCACTGCGTGCCATGGCTTTGTGCATTAAACATGGATCCAGCAAAAGTAGAACTTCCTGCAAATTTCTGGAAAGGGAACAGACAGTATCGAGAAAGACATTTATTTTACCCCCACCAGGTGGATTAAATTCTGCACCTGGATATGCCAAATACCCTCAGAAATCCCGCCCCCCCTCCCCGGCTACTTGTACAAAAAAGTGTGACCAAGAGCTGGGCAGTGTCCCTTTAGAGCTGGGATGAGAACTTAGCCAGTGGGTGAACCACATGCCTGAGGTGAACTCCCTGGGAAGAAGGCCATAAACTGTAGCAGTCCCAACTGTAGACCTCTCCATCCTTGACCTTCACTTGCCTGTCTGACCCTCTCTTGCTATGAAGATCCTGAACCCCACACCAGACTAGAGGATCAATTTGCAAAGAAAAGAAGACCGGTTTGTTTCCGAAGTCATTCTTGCAATGGCTTCCCATACATTCCTGAACGTCTCTGTGCTGAGCCCTGGGACAACGGCACAACTCTCAATTTTGCCTTTAGTGGCCTCAGCCTAGAGAAAACCATTCCCTCAGCCCCCCTTTGTGGCCTCACTAGGTTAGAAGAAAATTCTGTAATGTCACTGACCCTTGACTACCTATCCACTGTTTTCTGGTCTTTGTGAAACTGCCTATTTTAGCTAAGAGGGCTTCCCAGAGTATACGAGGCAAGGCTATGACAAATACTCTCTTTTCTATTACTGGTCAGCTCTGAGGCAAGCCACGTGGGAAAGAGGGAAACTACATGAGGTAAACTTTAAAACTTTCACATTTAACGTCCAGGAGAATACTGCCTCAACTGCACATGTTCTATAGAAACTCCAATAATTACACTAACATTAAGATCTACTGCTTAGTATTTATGTGCTGTGAATGAGACAATGAATTTCCTTCTAAGACCACAGTTGAAATTCTCTGTTAACTGGATATTTACCTGATGATGTAGCTATCTGATGTTAATCTGGGTGGGAGTAATTGACAATGGAAACAAATTTTCCATAATTGACAGCATGACCTGACTTGAACATTTTAATCCAGAGAATGAGTATCATTTTACAACTAGGATTTTTACTAGAAATCTATTTGTACCGGAGTTTCTATCAAAATGAAAGCTCTTATTAGTGCTAAGAAATGATGGATTCTGACTAGGTGTTCGATGTCATATCTGGGAGAAAAGATAGGAAACAAAATGGTCAGAAGAATGTTGGGAAAGTTTGTTAAGAATGAGAGAGTAAGGAAGATACAGAGGGCAATGGCAGAGCCCAGTGGTGGAATTTAATGTGACAGATAGATTTTCCTCCCCAGGTCCAATTCCTCTTCCTTATGAGGAGAATCTAAACTTCACTCAGAGAGTAATATGCCTAGCTAAAACATTTTCCTCCTAGACTCGAACATAGGTATAGAGAGCCATGTGACAGAATTCTAACCAATAGGTGTAGCCAAACACATTGGGGAAAGGTCTGCTTTCATGATACAGACATTGCACTTTATTGATTGCCTCTTTCTTCTTTTTCCCACTTGGAAAGCAGACACGATACCTGGAGATTCAGCAACCACCTTGCAACTATGAGGTAATAAGCCAAAGACAGAGAATGAGGATGGTAGAAAAGAAATGCCTAAGAGTTTTGATCCCTGTTGATATCATGGAGGCAGTCCTGCGTTCTTCTCTCCTAGATTTCTTATTCAGCCCTTCACTACTTTTTGGGGATTCTGTTATTTGTAGTCAGGTGCACACAAACTTGAAAAATCAATATTCAATGGAAATGAGATTGAAAGGGATGGGGATGATTCTGGGAAAGGGAGGATTAAAGACTAAAGTGAAGAGTCAAGTGGGATAAATCGTACTAATGATAGAATGAGCCTAAAACATAGCTTAGTTCCTTCCTGCAGAAGACAGAAGTCCTGATGAAAAGAGTAAATGCATCATTATGTCAAATACAAATGCCCAATGCTTAAATTGGCTGTATGAAATTGAACTCTGTCCTTCTGTGCTGTGATTGCTAGTATGAAAGTGCACACTTACACATTAAAACTGGACATTTTGCATCCTACAGAGAAGAGAATGGAACAGATTTAGAATCAATTTAGTATTTCTCTTCCAATCCATTTGGAGGAGTTCCCACTGAGAACTCATACACCTCATCCTCTTCACAGCCATATCTGAAAAAACCTGAGTGGAAAAATAAGTAGAAACACTGGGGAGCCAGTTTTGACTCTTGCATATGCTACTTGGAAATTAAAACATGCTTGTGGCAAGCAGAGCGCATACAGGCCACAACCCAAGGAAAGTGCCAGCCTGATCAATTATTAAGAGTGCACAGGCAACGGTGATAAGTAAGTGAAGCAAATACAATGAGGATGTAAATCAATACTCAGGTGTGTGTCCTCAAAACAAGGATGCATCCTCTCACATGAGAGGAGACAACGTGCAGCACAACATGCTTCAGTAGTTCATCGTCCAGGCCTCAAGTGTCGGTCAGTCCCAAGGTGCTGGTCTGACATAGTAAAATGGTTTCTTCAAGGTCATCATGGTGTGCAGCCATGATGTTGGCTCAAAAACTGATAAACAGCAAAAAGAATGGGCAATGGGCTCAGAACAGGAGCAAGAAATGCGACAGTCATGAGCAGACTCACGGCGGCAGGCTTGCAGTGTTCACTCTGTTCGCCTTTAATTTTTCTTTTCCAGCAAAGTAAGTGCAACTGCCTTTAGTATGATTCAGTAACATAGCAGCAAAATTTCAAGAATCAATAAATAAGGACATTGCCATGCCAGTACCACTTTGTCCTTTGGACTCAAAGCTTCACATGTGTTCGGAAGTTACAAACATCAGCCTTGAGCAGATGGGGCCACAGCTTCTCCATTCAGCACTTATGTTCTATGCTATCATATAAACCACATCATTTACACCTACCCACATGCCCCCACAGCAGTTAGCAAACTCATTAAGACACACATCTTGAAACTCATAAGGGGTTAAAGCTATAAAATGTCTATCATTGATGGTTTTGCTTTAAAAAAGAAAAAAAAAAGGAAAAGTTTCATCCTTCTCTTCCTTTCAAACTAAGCATTTGTTTCTGCTGCTGCCAGTGCATGATCTCTCACTGGTACAATAATGTATCATTTGTTTATTTCTTTTAAAATGATATAGTCAATGTTTTTCTCAAATAATCGCCACTTTGTTGCTAATTAAACATGATGGATTCAGGGTCCTGGTTTGCCATCTGGGCCATGTGTCTCAGAACATCCTTTTTGGTGATGATGCCAAGAAGTCTCCTGGAGTGGAAAGAAAATAGAGAAGAGATCAGACTTACACCATGAGCTCATTTCTTTCCATAAGCCCAGTGTCTTTTCCACCTGAGCACAGGGTCAGGTGATGTTTCCCAGCTTCAGCCATGGTTGGGCAAAGTCAATGGACTCAGTTCTGGCCAAATGGCCCATAAGTGAAGGTAACAGATGCCACTCTCAGTTCTCCTGCACATCTCACCTGGTAGTCAGAGGCAGAAGAGACAGGAAACAACTCCGGGGCACAGAGGTCTGACGTAGGGACCACATGATTTAAAAAACAGGTTTCTCTATGCCAGACTGTGTGGTCAAGAGCCCATAATTGCAACCCACATAGGCTATGATATGTGAGAAAAATAAACTTTTGTTGCATTAGACCACTGAGATTGCAAGTGTATTTATTACAGCAGTAAGCTTATGATGACTAACTCACTCTCCTAATTTCAAGACTATAATCAATTTAAAATGTGCTTGTGAGCTGCGTGTGGTGGCTCATGCCTGTAATCCCAGCACTGGGGAGGCTGAGGCAGGAGGATCACTGTAAATTTGAGGTTGGCTTGGGCTACATAGTGAGTTCAAGGCCAGCCTGAACTCCAAAGCAAGACCCTGTCTCAAAAAAGTTCAAAAAAGTGCTTATGAAAGCCATTGTCAAAACTTAACCACACCAAGAATTTCCAAGTATAAGGAATTTTAAATATAAAAAATGTTAAGTGTAAAATAAAATTTATTCTATTTGAAATTTGGTTTTAATGGAAGGCTAAAGTTAAACATTTATCTCTCATCAAATATGCAAGTTACCTCCTCTTCTAAAATCCCATTGGTTTCAATTTATAAACAAACAATGTGACTTTTCCAATGTCCCTTGCATAGGACCACCTCAACTGTACATCACTCAACCTCAGGGAGCACCATTCACAAACACTACAGTGTAATAGTGCTTCCTGCATGCACAATTGCCCACAGCAACCTCTGCTTTATTGTTTTATTAAACACTGCAATGGCAACCTGCAGGAACAAATCATACCTCCCAGGTAAAGTGAATGGTTCAACAAAAGAGAATGTGCACAACTTCTTTGGAATGTAAGTTCCATTGCCAAATATGTTTGCAAGTGACTGTTCAGTGTATCTATATCATACCCAAGAAAAGGAAAATTGGGAAGCAACTATAAAAGTCTCACATACAGGAGTCTCTGCCCTCAGTGAACCGGTAGCAGACAGGAATTCCTCACTCAGAAGCACCGGGGACTGCTCTCACTGAGGTTCACGTGTGGGCCCACCCTGTGCGTGCCCTGCACCAAGTGAGTGAGCACTCCAAGAGCTGCTGGTCCAACAGTTTGAGTCCATGCTTTACTTGCACCCCAAATCCCTGGGGGGACACAGTCATGGGTAGTCTGTGATTACTATGGGTCCGGCCCACATCTGGTTCCTGTATGCAACCTGAACTGACTGGAGACACAGAATCAGGTAGTCCACAAATTGTCAACCCTACAGTTAATGTCTGGGTTTTGCCTGTACCCTGAACTGCCTGGGGACATAGGTCCACTGCACCAGAACTGTCACACCAGTGCAACCCAAGACCAGGCTGTGCATGTGCCCTCAATAAAAAGGGGACGCTGCATCAGATGGTCAATGCCCGCATCTGAGACCTGGGATAACTACATACAAATCAACAGCTGGAAAACCCGAGATTAAGTAGTGCTTCTCAGCGGCCACTGAGGGGCAAACTTGACCAATAGGAAAACTAGGGACCCTAGAGGACTTTACTGTGCAGCCATTGAAGAGGGAAACTGAGCCTGCTGCATCCAATATCAAACATGACAAGACGAAGGACTAAAGCACAATCCCAGAATTCCACCCCAATCAGAACAAGTCCAGGAGACATTGACAAAGGAGAACTTGGTAAACACATGCCTGAAATAGCTGAAATGACTGCAATGGGAGTAAAGAAACAACTCCATAACACCACAGAAGAGATGAGATCAGAAATAATCTCTCAGGCAAAAAATGAAATGACAATAATAATGAAAGAACTGTTCAGAATGTCTGAAGAAGAAACATATAAGAAAATAGAAGAACAAAGGCAATGGATGGAAACATTAAATGAAAAATACAGAAAAAACAGAACTCATGAACCAGATTCAAAGAGACTTCCAGGAAAACAAAGCTTCCATTGAAAGCTGCCAAAACCTCTTGAATGAAGCTGAAGATAGAATTTCAGATTTTGAAGACAGCATGGCAGCTAGCGACCATGAAAGAAAGGATCTCTTCAAATCCACAAGGAACCAGGAAAAATCAATTCAACAGCTCGAAGATGAGGCAAAGAAGAATAATATACGACTTATAGGAGTCAATGAAACAGCAGGAGGCAACACAACTGACATAAAAATGTTTGCAGAAATAATAGCAGAAAATTTCCCACCTATGGAAGCAGAACCTGATATACAAGTAAATGAGGCATATAGAACTCCAACCAACCACAACCAAAACAAAACTACACCCAGACATATAATAGTCAAGTTCCCAGATCTCCAGCAAAAGAACAGAATATTAAAAGCTGCTAGAGAAAAGAAACAGGGTACCTGGAAAGAAAAACCCATCAGAAT